AAGCTATAATTATTATTACAATGCCAGGGAGAGCATTGATGAGTGCCGTCGTACAGACAGAAAGCCGTTTTATGAATTTCCAAGCGATCACTGTTGGAAAACAAGAGCTGGGATCTCAGTCTTCATCAGAGGCAGAGGAAGAGGATTTTTTTTTGCAAATTGCGTCTTTGTAACTGTGCTAATCTGTATTGCAGCTTAATGTCAACCTTGTTAAATATAATTACGATGGAACAAATAACCATGACTATCATCTTAATCTAATTAGGCTACGTTGACATAGACCAGGGCTTGCTGTTTACGTAATGTGATTCACCTTTTTATTATAATCATGATAATAATAATCCCTGCATGCATTTGATATAGCTCCTTATCACGTGACCTACAAAATACGCTGTCACTACACTTCACAGTAACATCCTGTGAAGATCTTCGAGATGCCTCGACCACCTGCTAAACCGATGCTAACAAATGGAAGTATTATTATTGTTATATATTATTATTGTTACGTATCAAAATTCAGACGCACGCATGCACAGGATTTCACATTTCCCTTACAACCTTTGCAGTCAAATCTAGATCAATATGTCTTCGAGACATTTCAAGAGCGCTTCACAAGATTTTACTGTGAAGTGTAGGGACTATGCATTTCCGACTCAATCCACGACTGTTTGTGGGACACTGCTGTGTGGAATTGCCTGCTCCGTTTCGCCCGTCAAATATACAGCCACGTCCCAGTATATTCTGCAAAGCGCTTTGAGCTGTTTCGGCGATATAATAATAATAACAATTCCTGCGTTTGATATAGCGTCTTAGCACATCTTGAGACGTAGGATATACTGTAAAGTGAATCGACTGTGTATTTTGTAGCCGAAACGTATCATCTTATAAGGAGCAATATCAAAAAACAAGGATTATTATTATTTATATTATTAATTTGGGCACAGCAGCCAACTTTCACAGCAATGCCCCACAACGGGGCCGTGAAGTGAATAATTTATTCTATCTGGGCGATTGTCAGCCAGGACAATGGAGGAAACTCTCTTCTCTTTTCAAATAACTCCTAGCGATATCTTTGACCTCATCCCAACCTGCTACTGTGACGCTGCTCAACAAGAGAAGGGAGTTTCTCCTCGTGCCCTGGCCAGCCATCATTAAGATTAAACACTCAGTTATTGATCTCATGGCTGTTTGTGGTGCATTGATGTGTGCAAATTGGCTGTTGACAGTAGAGAGGTGAGAGGAAGAGGAGACGGAGGGGAGAGTAATCAGGAAGCATGCAATATAGTGGAAATCTGGAATTCTCTCCCTCAAAAGCCTGTGGATGCTGGATCAATTCCGATTTTCAAGACTGAGGCGGATTTTTGTTTGGTCAGGGTATCAAGAGTTTATGGGGCAAGCCACGATCTAGTCGAATGGCGGAACAGGCTTGAATAGCCAAGTCCTGTTCCTATATTCCTAGAGGGACAGAGAGAGAGAGAGAGAGAGGGGGGGGGGGGTGGTGGGTGCTTGATCCCACAACCTTTTGATGCAGATGAGTGAGAGCGAGCAAGAGAATGCTACCGGCTGATCCAGGCTGACAAAAAAAACTTTTTAACAGCGCCATTCATGAGGCAGCGAAGGCAGAAGCTCGGGCAAAAGTGGTTTTGAAGCTTTAGAAGAAAGCCTGAGAGATAATGCGGAGGTGATTTTTTTGTGACAATACTAGAATTCTGCTGCTGTCGTTGAAGGCCATTGAAGCTGCCCTTTTTATTGGCAGTCAGAAGTAATGCTTTTTAACTTTCAGGATTTATTCCAGGGCGGGAGGGGGAGGTGGGTGATGTGGGGTGAGGGTGGGGAGGGCGAGGTTGAGCAGTGGTTGGTTGGCTAACTGGGACCTTACAAAAAATACCTTGAGTATTTTTTTGGGCTGCTGATTGAAAATTTACTGAGCAAAGAGGCGCTGTGTGTTGGCCTCTGTAAGGCTACATCTGCTACCAATACAAATACAAATCCGAATAATACGAGGAAATATTGTTAGTTGCAGAATCTGCTCCGATAGCTTAAGCCTCTATGCTGTGAAACTGTGGAATTCTATAGGCAATAGATTTTTTTCTTTTTGTAAAGAAATCACAGCCGAGAATCTCGTCTTCAGAATCCTGCCAATTTCAGCCTCTCTTACATTTCGTTTTTTTTCTATTTTTTCTATATATATATATTTTTGAAAACAGCAGAAACCCACCAACTTTGCAGAATGATCCAGAAAATATACAGTCGATTCACTCTGCAGGATATCCTGCAAAGCGCTTTGAGATGTCTCGGAGACGTGATAAGGCACTATATCGAATGCAAGGATTATTATTATTATTAACATACGTGAAGTGAATGGAAAGACCTTTTGTATCATTAGGAGAGGAGTGGGAAAGGGAGGGGATAATAGTTGGCCTGGATACCGGGAGAAAGTGTCAGCCTGGCTCATTTGGAAGCACTCTCGCCTCTGAGACAGAAAGTTGTGGGTTCAAGCCCCTCACGTTGGAACTTACGGTCCAAGCCGACACTTCAATGCAACGCTGGTAAGAGCTGGAGTGTCATCTTAGACTGTCAACTTTGGATGAGGTCCCGTCTGTGCCTGTTCAGATGGATGTTAAAGATCCCATGGGACTGTTTGAAAAGAGAAGGGAGTTTCTCTCTCCAGGTGTCCTGATCCAACAATTCCCCAAATAATATCAGTCATTCACTTCATGGCTGTTTGTCGGGACTTCGCGGGGCGCAAATTGGCTGCCACGTTCGCCCACAAAAAGCTGTCACTCTACTTTACAATGAGAAGCACTGTGAGCCATCCTCCTGACGTGAAAGGCGCTGCTATCAAATGTTAGGATTGTGGTTCAGTGCTCCGAGACGCTACCCCATGTGAACGGTAGAAACAGGCCCAACCTCTCCACCATCTCCTGATAACTGTAGGCCTCCATACCCGGAATCATTCTCGTAAACCTCCTCTGTACTCCCAAAGCCTCAACATCTTTCCTTAAGTGAGATTCCCAGAAACTGGACGCAATTGTCCAGTTGTGGCCTAACCAATGATTAATATATTTTTAGCATCATTGTTTTACTTTTGTACTCCGTGCCCCTATGCATAAACCCCAACCCTCTTTACAGCCTTTGTCACTTGCGATGCTGCTTTCAGTGACCTAAGTGCCTGCACTCCCCCAAATCCCTTTGCTCCTCAACTCCTTGCAAGACACTGCCGTTCAGTGTATAACTTGCATTTATATAGTGTCCTTCACGCAGGCAGCGTCTCACAATGCTTAACAGTGGCGGAGCACGGACGAAGAGGAAGGTCTTCAGTCATGATCTAAATGGGGAAGGAGGGGACAAGGCAGAGGGATTGAAGGAGAGTTTCAAAGATTCAGCGGCATAGAGGCTGAAAGCACGGCCACCGATGGTGGAGTGGAGGGGACGAGGTATAAACAAGAGGCCAGAGCCAGCTAATTGGAGTGAGGAGAAAGCATATGCTCCTTTGGACTTTATATAAATTGCAAGTTTCTGCAAAGGGGGCAGGTGAACACAGTATGACCAGGTTCCTGTGATTTGTAGTAAAGTCAAATGGATGGAAGTTTGAGTTCCACAACGCAGTTGAACAGGAATAGTAAAAGCAGCAAAACAACCCTTTTCTTTGATGTATAAACATCGGATTGCATGTTTTTTATATTGCTGATTTTACAACATTCCAGCACCAGAACAAATGTTCACAATTCCCTACCCTCTAGTTAAGAGAAGCCAGACTAGCTGTTCTGTTCCTCATTGGTAGTTGTACTTGTTTGATAAACTCTGTGTTAGTTCCTGACCCTGTCTGCCTTGTTTTATTGGAGCAATGTGTGAGTTTATGTTGGTGTAAGTGTGCATGTGTGGGGTGTGTGTGTCTTGTTATGTATGTTTCTTTTGTCTGTCTTTCATCCTCAACTTGTATTCAGGGTTTGACAGTGCTGCCTCTCTTTACATAGAGATACAGCATCAATTTGCATTCATAGTGGAGTCCTGTAGCTTAAGGGTTAGAGCACTCACCTTGCAAGCGAGAGACCTGGGTTTGATTCCCGGCAGGGCAAAATGTTGGGCAAGTTCCCTTGCTCCACATGCCTCTGTTTGCCCAGCAGTATGTAGGAACCTGGCGGTTACTCGATTGGCCGATCACTTTTCAGTGGTAATAATCACTTAAAAAAAAGTAATAATTTGATCACTCATTCCACGACTGTTTGTGGGACGCTGCTGTGTGCAATTGGCTGCCGCATTTTGCCTACAAAATATACAGTCAATTCACTTTACGGTATATTCTGTGAAGTGCTTTGAGACATGATAAGGCGCTGTATCAAATGCAAGAATTATTATTCTTATCGTTATATACCCTTCCCATAGGGTAATGTCAGGAACAGGGTGAGGATGTAGACAGTCAAGGTTTTAATAAGTTACAGATTGTAGATGGTGGACTTGGGGAGATTAGCGAGGGAGGCGTTGGAAAAGTCTGGAGGAGTGTCTACAGGGCTGAACTGCCTCCTCGGTGACCTGCTGGCAACGAATATTAGAATCGAAGCGACCCTCTGCGGCAGTCTCGGAAGTTTTGTTCCTGCGGGTCAGCAGTACTCCAGGGCACTGCTAATGACAGACCTCATTCATCAGCAGTACTTGGAGGGGCAGAACATTCAGAACGGGATTATTCCCACTCGGCTCCTGTTGTATCTGCAAACCAAGGCCTTTGTGGGTTGGGTGGTCCTAATTGGACAACCAGTGCTTTCAATGGCTCTTGGCTTTCAATTGCTCTTTCAAGGACTCTTGCCAAACTGCAGCTAATATTCTCTGGATTACATAAACAGGGTGTGTCCCTTTAGGGGAGATTTCCACTTCTGGGTGGCATACATATGTGGAATTTTTAGTCTGGTTTGGATACTCTTAAGCAAGTGGTGGGTGTTCTGCGTGTGTCAGACACCCGGCTGACCAAAAAAAAGCTGACCGACCATTGTTTTTTTTTGTAGGTCTGGATGACCGAACAAGTTCCGGGTCCTGGGGACCTGGAGGAGATCCCAGTACGACCAGGGTAAGTCACACATTTCTACTTGTACAAGCTCCTCTCATCATCATCATAAACTCACACAGTCAGGTTGCGTCAGTAAATTCAAGGGACATTTGGAAACATGTTTAGCAAACGGATTGATTTAAAAACAGCTTGCCTTTTAAATATCAGCCTGGCTCAATCGGTAGCACACTTGTCTTTGAGTCAGAAGATTGTGGGTTCGAGTCTATAGTCTATGCTGACACTACATTGCCATGCTGTGGGATGGGCCATTGTAGGAGGTGGCGAGTTGTTTGTCTAGTTAGTTAGTGGGTTGTTTGCTAGTTAGATGTTTGGTTGTTTAGTTATGTGTTCTGTTTCATTGGTTGGTTGGTTGGTCAGGGCTGAAGTGGGCTGGGCTGGAATGAGCTGACCTAGGCTGAGCTGGGCTGGAGCGTGCTGAGCTGGGCTCGGATGCGTTGTGCTGTGTAGGGCAGGGCTGGATTAGACTGGGCTGGAGTGGGTGGTGGTGGGGTAGGCTACGCTGGTTGCTCGCTGCTAGTAACAATTCTTTTATTGTCAATTCAACAACAACAACTTGGATTCATTGTATAACTGAGGTGATTGTGCACAGCCCTGAGTGTCATGTTCATTCGCTTTGTTCATTGGGATTATTTATAGTTTATTTGTGTGTTATTTTGGTCAGCTCGTGCAGTCAGTAGGTCAGTTCAGTATCAGGACTTTGAGCTTGCCGTCCAGGCTATCGCCTTGCCAGAGATGCTGTTCCTCTAAATCGAGGTCTTGTTCTGTACCTATTTAGGTGGACGTCAAAAGATCCTGTGTTGGAAAAGACACTGGAGTTTTTTCCCGGGGTCGGGGCCTACAATCCGCCAGACATAATCAGTTTTTTTTTCTTTACGCACGGAAATTCCAGAGATAAATTGTTGGAATGGAATGCGCACTCTCTTCCTAGAGGGATGGATCCTGCTTACCTGACCCCGGAAAATATTAGGCGCAGGTTGGCAAGAACCAAGCCAGAGTAGGTGGATTCCAAGCCCCTTTAAAATCCCAATAATATTAATAGTCATTGCATTTCACCGAGCCCCTGGTCGTGTCATCGAAATAACGACAACAACTTGCATTTATGTAGCGAAAGTCACCCAGTGTAGCGTCTCGGAACGCTTACAAGGAAATGTCCCAAAGGAGCTTTGCGGGACTTTTACTGTAAAGCGTAGCGACTGTGCATTTTGTAGACCAGTCCAACTCATCGCCAAAGTCTTTCCTTTAATGTCCTGTAGAACTTTGGTGAAGGACCCCATTATGAGCACATGGCCAACCGGGACCTTGGATCACACGACAATCTCACCTCTTCCTCGTTTATGAACTCTCGTCTCCTTGGTAAGTACCTTTTTGGCTGTGTTCTCGTGCCTCGTTGTACAGAGCTCTTTGGGACAGTCGACCTGTCAAGTGTCCCACAATACGATTCCTTCTCTTTTTTCCCCCCATTCACTGGTCCCAGCGTTTGATGTGCACAGGGGCGGCTGTTCACGTCTTCACATGGTGTATGAAGGTGACCCTGTTGGTACTCGATGGGGTAGGCGTGGGTGGTTAGAGGAGTGGGGGGGAGAATAGCACTGCCTTCAACTCCTGGTGAAGACCAGAAACAACTGGTGGGGATGGGCAAAGGGAGGGGTAGATCAAAAATATGGATTAAAAAGGTAAATGTATAGATAAGTAAGGAATTACAGTCTTGACACCTGAGCCTTTGAGCTCATTGGAACAAATGAACAGTTCTGTTTTTTTTGTTCTGCATTTCGCTTTTAACTCGAGGCAAATGTTCGTCTTCAGAATGCCTTGAAAACCAAGTGTCATTGCCAATTGTGTGGTGGACGGTGTGTGTGTACATGTCGGGTATACTCAATGCCAACAGTGTGGTGGATTGAGTGTGTGCACACTCCCAGTATGTTCATTGGCAACAGTGTGGTGGACCACGTGTGTGTGTGTATACTCAATGCTGACAGTGTGGTGGTGGATAGTGTGTGTGTGTGTACACGCCTGGTGTACTCAATGCTAACCGTGTGTTGCGCAATGTGTGAGTCCTCGATATCAGCAGTGTGAGGTTAAACCATGTGGAGGGAGAATGCCATTTGGCTCCAGTGAGTAGCCCAGGAGAGCTGTGGTTGGGGGATGTGGTAGGCGGAGGGTTTGGAAGAGTAATTAAAACAATGGAGAGTTCACATCTGGTGTTCGGAAATGTCCTAAATGGCACCAGATTCTTTTTGCGGAGGTTTGCTCACGGGAGAGGGCTATTGTGTTTGTGTTTGGGCAGGTTATTATGGGGGCGGAGGGATTGGGATTGTGTTGTGTTATGTGTGCGTATGGAGGCTGGATTTGTGTGTGGGGATGTGTGTGTGTGTTTAAAGTATGTGGAGCCTCGTAAAGTCCTGTAGCTCGGTGGTTAGAGCACTCGCCTCGCAAGCGGGAGAACTGGGTTTGATTCCCGGCAGGGCGCATGCAAGGATTATTATTATGTGTATATGTATGTGTGTGGGGGTGGTTGCAATTTTCTCTCACTCTCTCTCACACACTCTCAGTCTTGCATTCTCTCTCCTGCTCTCTCTCTCATGCTCTATCTCTCTCTCTCTCTCTCGTGCTCTCTATCTTATGCCCTCCTTCTCACTCTCATTCCCTCTCATGCTTACTCTTGCTGGTTATCCCTCTCTCTCGCTCGCACTCTTTCATTTTCTCTCTCTCTTTCTCCCTCCCTCCCTCTCTCTTGCTCTTTTGCACTCTCTCCTGTTAAATGATCTTTAAATAAATACTGACGCAAAAAAAGAAGGTGGAAGATTTTGTTGGGGAGAAATGTGTCAGATTGTTTCAGGTCTACTATGTCTTAATGATTATTATGATGATTAATACAGTAAACTGCTGATAATAATAACCCTGGTATTTGATATAGCGCCTTATCACGTCTTCGAGACGTCTCAAAGGGTTTCACAGAATATACTGTAAAGTGAGTTGACTGTATTTTGTGGGCGAAACATGCAGCCAATTGCACACAGCAGTGTCCCACAAACAGTTGTGGATTGAGTGAGCAAATTATTATTATTTATTTTGAAGGGATTATTACCCCTGGAAAAGCGATGTGCCAATCGACTAACAACTGGGTTCCTACATACTGCTAGGTAAACAGAGGAGTACGGAGTAAGGAAACTTGCCCAAGGTTTTGCCCTGCCGGGAATCGAGCCCAGGTCCTCTCAACTGCGAGGCGAGTGCTCTAACCACAGGGCTCCACAAATAACTCGATAACTCCACCCTATCTTAACTTGTCACTGCCGCTTAAGTCCTCGTGCTGCTAATATTCTGGCCCCACTTATTTATCTATTTATACATACACCTAACTCGCCACTCCTGATAACTCGTCACTTTCCCTTGGAGTGACGAGTTATCAGGACATTAATAAATTTTGTTCGGCATTAAGACCCTTTGGTGGAGTCCCACAGTGAAGTGGTTACAGCGCTCACCTTGCAAGGATCTGGGTTTGATTCCCGGGCCGGGCGAACCCTTAGGCAAGTGTCCTCACTCCACACGCCTCTGTTTACCTAACAGTAAGTACAAATCTGGCTGTTAGTCGATTAGCGGATCGCTTTTCCGGGGGTAATAATCCCTTCAAAAAAATAATAATTATAATAATAATTAGTCACTCAATCCAAAACTGTTTGTGGGACACTGATTGCCTCAGGCGTTGACAGCATCAGCATCCAAGGCTGCACTCTCCACCTCTCAAAGCCGGTCAGGAACCTCGGTGTTCTGTTCGACCCTGAGCTGTCCTTTCTCCCTCATATCTGCGCCACAACTGGCACCGCCTTCCATCACCTCCGGAATATCGCCAGACTACGGCACTACCTCACCCCTCACGCGGCTGAAACTCTGGTCCACGCCTTTATCACCTCAAGGCTGGACTATGGGAACTCTCTCCTCGCCGGCCTTCCCGCCACCTCCCTCCACACTGCAGGTCATTCAGAACTCTGCAGCTCATGTACTGTCCCGCACCAGGACCACATCACTCCCACCCTCGCTCGCCTCCACTGGCTCCCCATCCCCCAGCGGATCGAATTCAAGATCCTCATCCTCACCTACAAGGCCATTCACGGCCTTGCTCCCTCCTACCTCTCTGACCTACTATCCCCCTACTACCTGCCCGTACCCTCCGTTCCTCTTGCTCCGGTCGGCTCCACATCCCCCGCCCCAACCGCCCTACCATCGGTGGCCGGGCCTTCAGCCTCTCAGCCCCGAGGCTCTGGAACCCCATCCCCCAGTTCCTTCGCCTTTCCTCCTCCCTTTCCTCCTTCAAGGCCGGTCTCAAGACCTTTCTCTTCAACCGAGCCTTCAGCTCCCCTCTCGACACTCTATCCCCTCCTCGCTCCCTCCCTTCCCTCCCTTCACCTTGACCATTTCCCCCCTGCTCGGGTCCCGACCCAACTGTCCAGAGCCTTGGGTCGCCCTCCCGACGTGAAAGGCGCTCTATAAATGCAATCTTGTTGGTGGTGGTGTTGCCTGGTATGTTTCACCCACAAAATATACAGTCAATTTCACTTCGCAGTATATTCTTTGAAGCACTTTGAAAAGTCGCAATGATATAATGAGGTGCTAAATGCAAGGCTTATTAATATTATTAGTGATACGTGATTATAATTGGGGTGGGGTGGGGCGGGGGATGGGGGGGCAGAGGGAACTCTGCTTCCATCTCCATCTGGAATTTTGCCCGGAATGCTTTTCCTATTTTAAATGCAATTGTGTGGAATGTTTCTCCAAAGGGGGAAAAAAAAATTGGCAGCTTTGGTAAATGCTCCCAGTGTTTCATAAACAAAACAGGAAATATGAAATAATAATTGGGAATCGCAAGTGCTTTTTCTCTCTCTGTCTCTGAGCGCTGGCTGACAGCCTCCTTCGCCTTTGCTCCTGATACTCTTTTCACACCAGGAGATTGGGGTAGCTTTGCCCTCCTGCAATCTCTCTGCTGCTCAGTGTTTCATCAGCACCAACCCTTCCTTGTGCTGATTTCAGGAGTAAACACTGTACGCACAGCTCTCACACACACACCACTCGTACAGCGCTCACACACACACACACACACACACACCACGCCTCACATACACACATAGTAACACTAATAACGCTTACATTTGACATAGCGCCTTATTACGTTGTGGAGACGTCTCAAAACACTTCGCAGAATATATTGTCAAGTGGAGTGACTGTGTGTTTGTGGGTGAAATGCGGAAGTCTACCGCATACAGTAGCGTCCCACAAACATCGTGTATTGAGTGACCAATGATTATTATTTATTTACTTGAAAGGGTTATTATCCCTGGATAAGGGATCTGCCAATCGACTTAACAACCGGGTTCTTACTCACTGCTCGGTAAACAGAGGCGTGTGGAGTAAAGTAAATTTGCCTAAGGTTTCGCCCCGCCCGGGAATCCAACCCGGGTCCTCTCGCTTGAGAGGCGAGCGCTCTAATCACTGCACTATTGGACCCATACCTTGCACGCCCTCACCTCTCGCTTATGGTGTACACTTTGTGACCCCACTGTGTACACACCTTGCACACGCACACCTTGCTCACACTCATCTAGGCAAACTTCCCATTTATCCCACTCGCATGAAGATACCATTCTTCCACCACTCCCATGCGCACAAGGACACCTTGCGGACACGCTGTACACCAATGTCAAGAGCAAATCGAGAAGTCAGACTTCAAGAACATCTTAAAAAAAAGGATTTCAGTGATTATTGAAGGATCAATTGAGGAGGTGTCAGTCTAGCTCTAAACTATATGAGTTCAGTTGCCCCGATGTGGGGCTTGAAACGCACAACCTTTTGACTCAAGGGTGGGAGAGCTGTCAACTGAGTCCTGTAGCGAATTGATTGGAGCACTCGCCTTGCAAGTGGAGGACCCGGACTCGATTCCCGGGCAGGGAGATATCTCAGGCAAGTTTCCTTAGTCCACACTCACGCCTCTACTTACCCAGCAGTAAGTAAGAGCCCGGTTGTTAGTCGATTGGCGGATCGCTTTCCGGGGGTAATACGGTCATTCAATCCACGACCGTTCGTGGGACACTTCTGCGAGCAATTGGCTGCCGCGTTTCATCCACAAATACGCATTCAATCCACTTTACAATATATCCTGTGAAGCGCTTTGAGACATCTCGAAGACGCGATAAGGCGCTGGATCAAATGCGAGGATTATTATTGTTATTATTTATAGGAGGAGGGGAGAATGTGCAGGCAGAGAGAAGTCATGTCTTCTCAGCTTGTGCCACCCTGCGCCAATTTAGCTCCTTCTCAATGTGCCGCATCATCAGAGCTGCCAAATTGCTATAGCGGCAAAATGC